GGTGAGAAGAGTGAAAAAGTATGGTCCCTCAGCATGCCTCCACCTCCTCTTGTTCCATCTGCCCATTTCACTCCATTCTCCATAAATTAAAGACGCCCTACATCTGCTTTGGGGTGCATTGTTAGTTGTGTGCATTCTGTGGTTCCTCTGCTTATGAAAAATTAAACACTTTCCTGCATAGGATTAGTCCCCAATTCCCGAAAGCCCCGACTCCAGCAAACACGATAGGGGGGCGGGGGCCTGTTGATATGCGTCACCCCGACATCAACAGGAGTGGGGAACATCTCAAATAAAGTTGGGGAGGCGGGGGGGAGGTAAAGGACATAATTAACATCTGTTTAGGATAATAGTGAGCACATGTGTGAAACCTGGAATTATTTCTCAACACTCTCATAAAGACCAGCTTCTCACAGCAGTTACTCACCACATGAGAAATACAATGATGGCCACAACATTAGGTATACAATGCCCAATATAGTGGAACCTCGAGTCATATGACGCTGGTTAATTTCCATTTTGGGATGTCAAAACCTTCTTTCCTTTAGAAATAACGGAATGTGAAACATCAAAAATCAGATCTCCGGCCAATATTTTCTTTAGTTTGTAATATTTCAATTCTCTACTGAAATCAAAGTTTAAGCTCAATCTGCGGAAGTGTTGATAATGGCTTGATTTTTTTTGATGATGCAATGTTAATAGTTGAACAAACATGCTGTTTTGGGGAACACCTGAAAAGTGATGATTCTGGAGGTACGAGGACTGACACTAGTGATAGAGTGTGTGTGTGTGTGTGTGTGTGTGTGTGTGTGTGTGTGTGTGGGTGTGTGTGTGTGTGTGTGTGTGTGTGTGCGGCATGTAGCCTGAAAATTGCAAACTTTGACCATTATTGCACTCGAGTTGTTTCACATGACTCCACAATTATACGACTCCCATGTGCGAAGCTCCTAAATGTGCACTCGCTCCCTTGCCTCAATGGATTCCATGACATGAGGACTGGCCTGATGAAAGATGCTCTCCAGTGGGTCAGAGCATCTGTATGCAAAGGGTGTGTGGCAGCAAATGAATAGACACTTTATGGGCCACTGTAGATAATTGGGACAAAAGGGACTGCAAGATGCCCCCTTAGAACAGCCGGGCTTGAATGGAGTAATGAGTGTAATCAGGGGTTGTGGTCGCAGTGTCGCCCTGAACGGAGCACCCAGGACACTGGGGAGGACCCGTGTTTGCCTCTGACATTAACATGCGGGGGCCTTAAGGGCAGCCATATTTGGCCACGGTTTGGTAAGTGGGTGCCCTCGCAGGAAGAACAGGTGTTCCAGGCCGACGAGGCCATCAATCTTTCACTGGCCCGTCTCCGTTGGATTCAGGGTTAATTATCATCAAATAAGCCATTAAGGAGAGGGATGGAAGCATGGAGGATGAGGGGATACTAACCTTGGCAAGAGAGGTAGCCAAACTCAATCAATAGTGTCCTCTAAAAAGTAAGCCAAGGACTACTTTCATCCATGAGCAAAATTCACAGTCCACCCACGCCCTCCAAACACTTATTCAGTGTCTCCAAATGCCCACCGAAGAGCTAATTTTCACGCCTCACTCAGATGACCTTTGGAATCACATATATTGTATGTGCAGTGCCTGTTGCCTGTATGACAGCTTCTTATGCATATTCATATCTATATATGGCCCACCCCACACAAAACCCATCTCCTTCCTGTAAAAAAAATGCACAAGGCTGCTCATTACTGGATGTTTATCATCAGGTCCGGTGGAAGGAATGGCCTTGTGTATTTAAGGGATTTAGAATTTGTGTATGTGTGTGTTTTGGTGGGGGTCTGAAGGGAAAGTGAGATTGTTTTTAAATATGAGTTGGGGTGGGGGTGGGGGGTTGTTTGTGAGTGTGTGATGATGAGACGTCGGGAGTGGGAAGTGCGCAACTTGTGGGGGTGGTGTATTTGTGCTCGTGGTTGCATCTTTTAAGCGACAAGCGTGTGTGTGTGTGTGTGTGTGTGTGTGTGTGTGTGTGT